GATTACCGTAAAGTGAAGTTGATCAAAATATCTGAGACTCTAAAGATATCAAAGGAAAGTGTTAGACATATCGTGAATGAATATTTGGGTATGAGAAAGCTCTAGGCAAAGTGGGTGCCGCACGAGCTCACAATTGACCAAAAACAACAACGAATTGATGATTCTGAGCTGTGTTTGAAGCTGTTTAATCGTAATAAATCTGAATTTATGTGTCGATATATGACAATGGGTGAAACATGGCTCCATAATTTCACACTGGAGTTCAATCGACAGTCAGCGAGTGAACTGCACGAGACGAACCAACTCCAAAGCTTGGAAAGATGCAAAAGTCAGCAGTCAAAGTTTCGGCATCAGTATTTTGGAATGCTCATGGTTTAATATTCATTGACTATCTTGAAAAAGGAACAACCATCAACATCGACTATTATATAGTGTTATTGGAGCGTTTGAACTAGGAAATCACAGAAAAACTGCCCCATTTGAAGAAGACGAAAGTGCTGTTTCATCAAGACAATGCACCATGTCACAAGTCAATGAAAACGATGGCAAAATTATATAAATTGGTCTTCGAATTGCTTCCGCATCCACGGTATTTTCCAGATTTGGTCCCCAGCGACTTTTTCCTGTTCTCAGACCTCAAGAGAATGCTCGCTGGAAAGAAATTTAGCGTAGTCACCGAAACTAAGCCCTATTTTGAGGCTAAAGACAAATCGTACTATAAAAATAGTATCGAAAAATTATATGGCCGCTATAATCGTTGTATCGCCCTTGAAGGAAACTATATTGAATAATAAAATGAAATTTTATCATAAAAAAAAAAAATTTTCTATGTTACCCTACGAACTTTTCAGCCCACCTGTTAGCTGTCACCTCCTTTCTCCTACCACTACCTTGTTTTTAATCGTAGTTGCAAAGAGGATTAAAATGTTAATTTTGAAATTTGAACTTTTATACATATCGCCAAATCTAACTCATGGAAGAAATGATTATTATGGAGAAATATTTAACTAAATAGAAGCCAACTTACACCTTTAAAAGAAAGTTTACTTTTGAAATTAAATTTCATCTTTTGCAAAATTTAGCAACTGTTGTTAAGAATTTTTTTACTCATGCTGCAAGTTACTCAAAACAAATTGCGTGTTTAATTATATTCAAGCAAACTCTAAATTAACAGTAAAATAATAGGCTTACCCATTTTGGTTTAGTTCTAGAAATAATTTGTTTTTACAACGATTTTTAGAAAAATAAATATGTTTTTACAACGATTTCTTACAAAACAAATTTATTGTTTTTACAACGATAACTTGCGTAAAGAAATTTGAATTTACCATTTTTATAAATAAATCCAGGAGAGAGGGAAAGAGATATTCTCCTGAACTTTATAAAATTAGCATTTCTAAAATGCGAGCTTTTGCAATGGTTAAATCTAAGTTGTCCCTGAAACATAAGCGTGGGGGACATTGGTTAAGATTCCTCCTAAATATTTACCAAACTTTCTCAATATCTTTCCCCCTCCAAAAAAAAAGCTCATTTTTATTTATTAAAAATTTCAGATACTTAACATATGGTCAGCTAATTGCACTCACTGATTAGCTCCATAAAAGTGGAAAATGATAGGAAAAAAATATACAAAAAAAGTGAACATCCTGATAACTTTTGATCTAATAATTAAATTTCCGCATACTATTACTCACTTATGATTCGAGAGTTTAATCTTAAATATGCAAATTAATTCATGCAGACGATATTTTTTGTTACGAAACCAGACGCAATAACATACTTTCTCTAATTAAGCGTGTGATGCGATAGATAAAATTAAAAGAATTTGAGCAAAATCGGTCGAATAGTTCCTGAGAAAGCTAATTTAAAAAAAAAAAAAACTCTTTAAAATTTGATTATTCAGGATCTGTTCAACCGATATCGCTAAAAATTCTTAAAAATGATGTAAAAGTTGTGAACCTTACTCTTCAAAATATTTTTTTAACAATTATTACATAAAATAATAAAAAATATTATATGTGATATAAAAAATATATATCTTAGGATAAACAAATTAGGATAAACGAATTTTTCAATAAATTCGGATATTTAATCACCCAAAATATAGGGGATAGTCGCAATTTGG